TAAAATTTCTGGCAATTGGGGGGGGGGGGGGGCTTAATGGAAAAAAACCCCAGAAGTTTGGGGAAAATTTAAATATATGCAATGTTTACTTACCTATCAAACCTAAACTAATTTTACTGCTTTAACAATATAAAATACATCATTTATAACTCATTTACTATATGAAACTGCAATATTTGACATATTTATAGAATTTAAAAGTTGTAAATTCCTTAAATTTTGTACAAGCAAAACTGCAAACATACACAATACTCGAGAGAAAACTGCAACCTGATGCAACCTATGCTATCTCAGCACACATGCCTTAATTTTTGCTATCTGGTTAAAGAGCTCAGTTCTCAAACTTTCAGAGTTTCCCTCTGAAGCTTTGGTGCAATCTCTGCCTCACCTCCTTCTAAGCTTTCTACTCTCCTACAAGTTAGGAAAATAAACTACTTGTTACCCAATTTGTGGATATGTGTGTCACAGCCATTTGAGGGAGAGGTCACAAGGTCAACCACCTCTAGTCAAAAGGACAACAAAAAGCCTGCAACAGTTGAAAAGCAATTAAAGTGCTGTATGTTCCCCTTGTGAAGGTTAGGTATCCTTCTAGGTGCAGAAATGCATCTTGGATTTAAGATCTGTCTACAGCATGCCCATCCTGTCCTCAAAAGCATTTCACTCATTCTAAAAGAGAAAATAGTTCACGTGAGGTTCCCCCCAAAATCAGTGTGTGAGGGGGTTCTGTGAGTCCACATCTCTAAGAACGACTAGAGATGTAAAATTTCCGGAAATTTTGAAGCTGGGAAAAAAACGAAGATTTTCGGAAAAATTGAAAAAAATGCTACATTAGCATTTCTTTTGTCTTTTCTAGATTGAAAGTCATTCTGTTACTTTAGGAACATAAAATATGACTATGGACATTTTTACTTGGCATGAAATTATCACAACGAGCATATTAAAAATATAGTGTATCCAAACAATTATTACAAATAGAATACCCAACCACATGCAAAAACAAAACTGAAACTTTTTAATTTTCTTCTGACAATCGCACCTCCTAAAGGAAGAAATGCATCTTGTTCTTGCATTGGAGAGTTCAGTTTGTAACCTAGGACTTGCTTGTCCTCAGTGCACAGACATTAGATCAGATACCATATATATATATATATATATTAGAAATGATTTGGAAAATATTTGAACGCCTTGTCTTAAAATATTTTATTCATCATGCTAAAATAAAACGTTCCATAATCATTTTTTTTTCTTTTCTTTTTTCAATTTTTCCAATTTTTCGGGAAAAAACAAAAAAGGCTTCAGGAAAAAAAACGTTTCCCCCCCCGAATTTTTCCCTTTTTTCCCAGGCCTTTACATCTCTAAGAACTACACGCATAACAGAGGATAAGTAAGATTTAAGGAATGCCTGTATGACTTGGTTATTTTGATACTGTTTATTGGAGGCAGTTATACTGAGTAATGTCTACAGACTTTGCCTCTACTTGCCCATTACAGAATGGTGTTTTATCTACAGCAGTGCAAGCTTTTTCCCTTTGTACAGTCACAACTGCTGCAAGGTTATATGGCAGTGTCATGTAGATTTCAGACTCAACACAGCTTGTCTTCCCAAGCATATTCAGAATATACTGTTTGGGGTTTGGCTGCAATAATTACTGTTAATCGGCTGTCAAAGGGCAATTAATGGCTAATCAGGTACTTGATGGCTGGAAATCTCTCTTGCTCTGCTGAAGATTATACTGTTCAGTTAGTGCGAAGGACAGAGAAACAGGATCCAGATGAATATTTCTGTAGGTGGAAGTCCATCTGCTTGGGCAGTGTGTTTTGCTCACCTCCCCCTTCCAGTAGCAGCCCAAAACGCCCCTTGTAATCAGGGAGAAGTCCTTGCACTCGTGGGAAAAATTATCTGGATCCTAGCCAGTTTCTGGAAAGTATGGATTGGGCTCCAGAGACTGAAGAGTTTTTGGCACAAGTTCATAAAAACAAAAGTATCCTTGCAGCATACTTACCCTTTGGGAGTTTGAACTAGGGTTAACAGCTGCACTACCTGATTTTAGAAGTCTTGCTTTTGGCAAGTTCTGCTTGTATATTTGTAAATAGATATTATTAAAAACAGCCTGGAACTTCAGTACTTGCACACACCCCATCCAAAGGAAACTAAACTCAGTAGACACTGCCCTGGGACTTTTCACCACTCAGAAGCCCTTAAGTATGCTGTACTCGAACATCCCTAATTCTCACTTAACAAGTGGTAACCTGTACAACAGGCTTCCCAAGACGGTGTCCATGGGCACCATGGTGTCTGCCACGACATCCCCTGGCACTCACCAAGCTTTTCAGAAACATTGGGGGCCACTGTAAGGCAAGACTTGTTAACTGAGGTTAGAACAGATAAAAGGAAGTACTTCTTCACCCAAAGAGTGATTAACACATGGAATTCACTGCCACAGGAAGTGGTGGTGGCTACAAGCATGGACGGTTTCAAGAGGGAATTAGATAAGCATATGGAGCAGAGGTCCATCAGGGGCTATTAGCCACAAGGTATAGATATGGACTCTGGGGCAAGTGATGCTCTGTCATCTTGGTGCTTGGGGAGGTCAATAGTGGGAGGGCTCCTAGTGTCCTGGCCCCACTGCTGGACCTCCTGATGGCACTGGTATTTCTGGCCACTGTGTGATACAGAGTGTTGGACTGGAGGGGCCTTTCGCCTGATCCAACATTGGCGTCTCTTATGTTCTTAACAGCTGCCCTCCTTCAAAGGAAAGGGTTGTCCATGGTCGCAGTAGCAACTGCAGCCACTGGAAGATCAGGACTGGTAAGCAGTGGGTTTTCCTTAGTCAGTGTGGTTCCAGTCTCCCTTCAGGATTTAATTCTTTTTATTTTCCCCCCACCCCACCCCTCCAATTATCCTTCATTCATGTTTACTCCCCTTCTGTGATTCTTTTGCAAAGTGCGGAGGAAGGTACTGCAGCAGCCATTGCGGGTTTGGCCCCATCTCCTGCGGCAGCCGTGCTGGGGAAGTGCACACCGCCTCCTTTCAAAATTCCAAAGGTGCCCAAAGGATCAGAAAGACGGGGGACCCCGCTTGTAGAACTTGTTTTCAATCTAAATCACTATCCCTTCTGTGCA